TCTTTAGCCTCATCGGATTGTCTTATCTACTATCCTTCTCTATGACAGAGCAGATGAAATTATTCGAAATTGGAACCTCCTTGATTTCTTTCGAAAATGGTAAATGTTCGTAATCATTGTCTAACTCGTATGTTCTCATAGGACGATCTTTATGTTCCTCATAAAGAGGAGTAGACTATAAAGAATTGATTAGACGTTCTACCTGCCTATCTTCATGGTGATAGCATTGGTTGTGCCTTCTGTCACGGGAATCGATCTCCTCAAGTTTATCAAATGCAGTAATTATATCCATCTGACGATCTTTTCGCCTCTTATCAGGTAAATTATCATAGGTTTTTGATACCTAAATGTTGCTGCTATTCTTACGGAAGAAACTTGCTATAGGATCTACATCGTTTTCATGAGATTCTCCTTATATATTATCTACTTTTGCGTGCAGAGTAGCATTTTCCGCCGTCAATGCTTTAAGGCTTTTTGCCATCTCACCTAATCAAAATTTTCTCATCCTAATCTCATTGTACCCTATGCCCAGTATGGAGTAAGAGGGAAAATGATTATTTGATAGAGAAATATTTAAATGTGCATGCCTCTCTTATTCTAGGTGGGATCTATTTATAAATTTCTCTTTGAGGTTTTAGGGGTAATTGTTTCTTTTAGTGAATGACAAATGGCGGCCATTCAATAGTGGATTTCTAACTAATTCTAATATATACTCACGTTTTATTCATCAACTTGTACATTTTCATTCATTGGTTTGAAGTCATGCTTTAAACACTTACCTACGTGTGCTTTAATAATGGTTTTTGTCAATGTGAAATATTATGTGGACAGTTCTCCCTCCTTGGCTGCGAGCTCTTGTATTTCATAAATATTTTTTTCATCTTTCTATCCTTGTGTATTTTTAGGCTTGGATAAAAATTTATGAGCTCGCTTGTCCATTCTTTCGTATTTACTCATACAACATAGTGTTAGCTAGTGGATTCCATTAGGAAAAATTGCAGCAATGATCCCTTACTTTTTTAATTTTTGCAAATTTCACCACCACTTTCAATTTGTACTACAGGTCTCTAACCTTTCAGAAATATGCAGTTGAGATCCAAATTGATTGACCGTTGGTTGATAAAAAAGTCAAAATTTGTTCAATTTTGACCAAATTTATAGGGGTAAAATAGTAACTTTGAAATTATCATATTAAAAATAAACAAAAATCAGAAAGACAAAAAAAACCAAAAAACAATACAAGAAATAAAAAAAGGATTATCTATTTCTCACAACCCCACCCCACCCCCAAAATCAGCTATAACACGCTGATCCATTGCCGACAGCATAGCCGGCAGCCCCACCAGTATCTTCTTTGCATTCGATGGAGTTGCCTCATCAGTCATCGACCGCCTCATATTCACAGATACCGCACTCTATGAATTTCGTTGTGTCGTCACTCCCACTCTACTAGCCATCGGAGTTTGGTATCTTTTGAACGAAATCGCCAACAGTGATCGGATTGTATTTGAGGACGACGTCATATTATTGCTAGAACTTGATGAAGAAGATTTTGAAGAAGACGAAATTGGTATAGACAAGTAGCGAGAAGTGACTTCTCGTGCTTTTGGCCGGCGAAGAGCTCCATTTTCAGGCTCGAAAGGTAGCAATGACATCCTCTTTGAAATACAATTCGTTTGCCCATCTGGCACTTTTTCGTCCCCAAGTCAATTTATAGAAATAGTAGGGTGGGGTTTTGGGTATAGGTTTGATGGTGGGGTGAAGATTGATTTTGGTTTTATGGTGGAGGTTGATTTTGGTTTGATGCTGGTTGTGACGGCTCACTGTGTAGCTCGTGTGAGATGGGTGGCTATGGTTGTTCGACTGACGGTGGTGCCGACTTGCTGGTGGTTGTGGAAAAGTAGATGAGAGTGGTAAAAGGGTGAGGGTAGGGGGTTTGGAGGAGAGAACCTTTTTTTATTTTATTTTTTCTATTTATTTATTTGTTTATTTTTTAATATGACAATTTTAAAGTTTTTATTTTACCCCTATTAATGTGGTCAAAATTGATCAAACTTTGACTTTCCTGATCAACTAATGATCAAATGAATAATTTTCATCCATTTGGACCTCAACTGCATATTTTTTAAAGGTTTGACACTTTTGCTGATATTAATTGAAAGTTAGGGTAAAGTATGCAAAAATTTTAAAAAAATTAAGGACCGATACTGCAATTTTCTCATCCCATTATTAATGAGAGGTTTACTTCATTAAAAAAATAAGTAAATCCAATTTGTACATTGGTCTCAAAGTTTGGGCTATTTAAGTAATAAAAGCATTTTCTTAAACAGAAATTCGTTCAATTTCATTATTCTATTGTAGAAATCTATCTATCTGTTTGCATATGATCACCTCTCTTGCGGGAGACCAAGGTCTTGTTTGAGCGAATTGGAATTGAGTCCATGTGATGTGAGTCACGAATATATCTTTTAGATTTTGTGTTGGATGTATGGGAAGGTGGGTGTTGGGGTTCTCCATTTGAGGTGGTTACCTTACCTGTAAAATGAAAAATCTGAATATGACATTAATAAACTGGAACGAAGTGGTGCTTTTATAATGTCGGTGCACAAGGAAAATACAGGTTTTGCATCTCTAACGTTGGAATTGGATCCCCAGCTTTTTAGGTTAGAGAGACATTTAGGCTGCTGTTCAAATTTCATGAGTTTTGGAGGTTGTCTGCTATGTGAATTTAGATAGCAGGAAAAGAATGTTAAATGGGTCGATGAAATTTTCTTATAGCATCAAAATCAGTTCTTGAAAGTTCTGAAGTTCATTCTTGACCAAATTTTAATAGAGCTTGCAAATGCATGCTCCAACAGGAGCATAGAAAGAGAAATAGTAATTCTCTCCCCTCAATTCATCACCATTTGCATTCATTCTTTGAGTTCTATATATGTAATAATTCGAAGCATCCTTAGACATGAATTCCGAGACAAGATGCTATCTTGAAATGATAAATTTCAAGATATTTTTGAATTGTTAAATTCCCTTGCTTTCCAAACTCCAAAATATGCATTTTCTTGTTCTCCAATTATCTCAAACCCGATCATAATAGAAGGGGATTAGTATCCACAATTTAAGTGCCAATTTTTGTGAGTTTTAATGCTATATATATGGTTCTAGAAATCTTTAATTTATGTATATTTTTTTCATACAAATTTCAAACATTTTATTGCCATCTTTTTTCTCTCATCATGCAATTCTAAGTGACTGGAGTTATTTCAAGATTATGGAAGTAGATGGGAGATGAGGGAAGTTATGCGTTTGAATTCTATTCAAACTACTCATTCCAATTTTTTTTAATAACTTGTGGGTCGGATGCGATTCACGACACGTACTTTTCTACAATATATAAACAGCATTATAGTTAGAGTGAAATGATGTGGATGACAGAGATCGATACAACGGCCATTGATGCTGCTTCACTCTCATGCTACCAATTATTTGACAGGGCTGGCGTCAACAGCGACGGTCAAATCAGAAAGGAGTATAAGATAAGTGTTGAGGAATGACTGGAGCATACTACAAATTAAACCATTTACGATTCTCTTGTCCTCGATCTCCTCTTTCATGCCATACATTATATAATTTTTTTTAATTTTATTTTTGCTTTGTTGTTGCACATTTTGCATTTAAATTTCATATCTTCTTGTCTAGGTGTTGTACCATGATATAATAGGGGAAATTTGCTTTGTGTTCGACTAATTTGTTCTTTCACTCTATCTTTATATACAAGTAATATATTTTTTCCATAAAAAATTTGTAGCCCCAGCTTGGAGTCTAATCATGTTAAGACTCTATCTAAGCCCCGACAAGGGAGTAGCAATTCGCTGCGACTCTCATATGAACTGCCAATCATCTATGTCGAAATAGGATAAATTAAAGACTTTGAGGGAATTGAAGTTACATCTCTTTTTCATTTTCATAACGGGAGAAAACTTTGCTTAGAACTCTATTACTAATAATGAGTAGCTCCGGAATTTCTTATGGATGCAGACATCCCAAGCAATTCAATTTTATGTTCTTCACTATCTACATATGGCCTTTTTTCCTATGTGCTCGATTTCGTGACCACTAATTGACGTCTATTTGGCAAAACATGTTAGAAGAGAAAGGCGAAAAAAAACTTATTAATCGATTGAACATATCACTTCCGTTTCACCTGATTACANGGCAAAACATGTAAGAAGAGAAAGGCGAACAAAAACTTATTAATCGATTGAACATATCACTTCCGTTTCACCTGATTAAACACGAAATATGTAGATAAAAATATAATTTTACCAATTTAAAAGCAATTATAAGTTTTTCCAACCATGCACTGAGAATTGCCAAATTCTCACGTACAATTTCTTGAAATGTACATTTTGCGGGCATGATCTATAATTTTAAATTAACCTGACCTAATTAAGAGGCCTTAAATTACTATAGGTTAGTTTGTCAAATAAAAATTGGAAAATTAAGCTGTGCCGATCAAAGCCAGCACATGACAAAGATTCGAATTCGACACAAAGTATCTTTTTCGCAAAAGAAAAAGCACAGGCCTTATCTTACCATACTGTGGAGTAAAACACTTTTGATGATTTCACAAGGTTGATGTCGTATTAGATGAAATTTAAATAAATATTAGTTTGAATTTTGGATAATATATGTATGCCGTACAAGGTTTTTATTTTTGCTTCAACCTCTTTTAGAAAAGCTTTCTAAGGAAGCATTTTTAGAAAATTATCCTGAGATGTCCAAAAGCAACTATTAGTTTCAAAAGTAGCTTTTGATTTGTAAAAATCATGCCAAATGGATCCTAATTATGTATAAATTCGTATTTGGGACAATAAAATGATTCATATTCTATCAACATGGTACAATATTATTCTTCACTCTCTCTCTCTCTCTATCCGAAGTCTATTTCATCTTATTTAATCATCCATAGCATCAACTTATTTTTCTGAATATATCTACTCATGGCTGAGAAGGTAAGAGTAATTTTAAGCTCTGTGTTTATGTCTACTTCTATTACATGAACATGGCTTAGGATTTTTCTTCACAAAATATTATTCATATTTCATTTTCGAAGCTACTGCTTTTCAGTATCTTCATCAATTCTGTCCAATCAGGTTACTGTGATGGTGCTGAAGGTTGATCTCCAATGTCCTTCCTGCTACAAGAAAATCAAAACAATTCTTTGTAAAATTCCTCGTAAGTCTTTAAATTCATCCATATTATTATTGAACAAGAACAAATATTAAATATTTTCGTGTTTGGATAACAACTGACTTATATTCTTCGATGTAAAACGTATTGGAACAAAAGAAATTAGAGGGCAGATATTTGATGTCAAGCAAAATACAGTGACAATCAATGTAGTATGCTGCAGCCCAAAAAAAATTCGTGACGAATTGTGCTGCAAAGGTGGAAAGGTTATCAAGAGTATTGAAATAAAAGGGTGTGCACCTCCACCACCGCCTCCACCACCACCGCCTCCACCACCGCCTCCACCTCCGCCTCCACCTCCACCTCCGCCTCCGCCACCGCCACCGCCTCCGCCTCCACCTCCACCACCGCCTCCACCACCACCTCCACCACCAGTGAATGGGCTCGAACTTCGAATCACACTTGATCAGCCGGCACGGACTTGTTGTGAACCATGTTCACAAGGTTATGGTGGGGGTCCATGCTACCATGGGCACCCAGCTCCGCCGTTGTGTTCCAACGGTTATCATGGGTATGGGAGTGATTGTAAATGCGGCTGTGGTTGTTGTTGTGGTTGTGGGAGGGGTTGCCACCTGAGAAAGTGTGTTTGTTATATTGAACAAAATCCCACAGCCGAATGCAAGATCATGTAACAAGTAATTTGTGATAGTTTTTCACTTTTTACTATGACTGGATTGTCATCTAGTCTAATCTTCAATCAATTTGACGTATTGGTCTAAAACCCAGATGGTGACTGATGTTGGTATTACATAGGTGTCTTGGTACTATGTTTGTGGGTTATATACTATGTTGGTATTACATAGGTGTCGTGGTACTTTGAGATGCTATATGCTACGTTTTTTCAATTTAGTAAAATTAAGTCATGTAACTTTTATTATATTTAACTTCTACTCATTAGTTGTGCAAGTAAATCTAAGTGATCTAATTGTATCAAATTGAAGATGAAAAACATGAATGAAACTATGCACAAAGTTGGGCGACTTGCAGTGCTTATATAGATTTGTTAGTTTGTTAAAGATTTTGATTGTATTCCTTGTTTATTTAGTCCGTGTTTGGTGAAGATAAAATTCATATTTTTAGCATATTTTAATGAACGTTGATGGAATATGTGGTTGAAAAGTTATGAATTTTATAAAATATATTACTAAAATCAATTATTAAATTTGATTCGGATTTTAATCTAAATTTTAAATCGAATCAAAATGGGGCTTTATGGAGCTGTGTCACAAGATGTGTCATATAATATTAGGCCTATGTTTGGACTATATCAAAAGTTGATTAAAGTTTCAAGTCAAAGTCAATTATAAATTTTAACAACACATTTCATCAATTTTTATCAAAATCTACTAAAAATTTAATTTTAATCTACACCAAACATGGGTTAATTTTACATAGTGATGTCAAAAGATGTGAGAAAGTTCCAAGTCTAGCCAAATTTTCTGAATGACTTGATGCTTGTTTGATAAAACTTTGCTGAAATATTACAACTTGTCAAACTTTAATCTTTAACAACATTTTTCATAGGATCCACAACGTTTATCTACTTTTTAACTACATATTTTATCAACTTT